CCTTACAGTGAACACATTTATTACATAAAACATAAGTTAATACGCAAGATTGAAGGGTGTGCAGACTCTGGAGTCAGATCTCCTGGCTGAAGACTGAATTCCTTCAAGAGCTGTGAGTTTGTAGATGCATTGTTTTCTTTCTTTGAATCAGTTTCCTCTTTAAAACAATTTTAATTGTGTCTAGATGTGTATGTGGCAGGGGCAACATGCCCACGAGTACTGGTGCCCACAGATACCAGAAGAGGGTATGATACCCTTTGGACCTGGAGTTAAGGGGGTTGTGAATTGCCTGGTAGAAGTACTAGGAACCAAACTCAAGTTGTCTTCAAGAGCCGTAATGTTCTTAACTGCGGAGCTGTCTTTCCAGCCTCACAGTACCAAGGTCATTGAGGGTTATGAGAGTAAAACGAGATACTCCAGACACCCGGGTGGCGTGGCATGTGGCAGAGAGGCGTAAAGAGATAAATGACAACTGCTCTCATTAGCAGGGAAATGCTGCTGGCTGCGCTAGCTCCCGCTTCAGTGTCCTTGGTATGTGTTCAACGCTGTGGAAATGGTAGCTTTTCATTGCGTTCGTTTTTTGGTGATGGGGTCTTGAATAATGATCGAGTGCTCTAGCACTGACCCACATTCCTGAGACACCACAGTGGGTGGATTAACTGAAACCATCGGGTACCTTACATAGGGCAGTGGCCCAAGAAGCAACTCTATTATGGTGGACAGAGTTGAAAACTCCCCAAGTGTCTTTCCCATCAAGGTCAAGTTTCTACCAATGGGGAAGCTCGTGTTATTTTTACAAAAGCTGTTGCCACTCTCTGAGAGAGTGAGGCTACTTTATCAGACGGTCCAGGCACTGTTTTCTTATTCTTCCATTCTGACAGCAGCCAGAAGCCAGGGGCAGTGCTTTTTGCAGTGCCATGCTTCCTACATTCTCCACCCCCTCCTTCTTGAAACGGGGTCCCCCCATGTTACCACACTGCCTCCAACTCTGGGCTCAAGTGACCCAACTGCCTCAACCTCTTGCATAGCAGTGACTACACATGCGCCACTGTGCCCAGTCAGAGTTTTGCTGTTCTGAAATACAGGCTCACATGCTAGGTACATGCTCTACTATGGAACCTACTCAAATGCCCTCCTGTGCTCTTCTTCCCGAACTGTAGGTAAGTCAGTTCCAGAAGACTGTCTCACGTTTCATGCGTAGTGCTCCTCTTGGCCTTGGCCACACGTGCTTCTTTCTGCAGTGGGCAACGGTCACTACAGAGACACAGAACTGGCCAAAGTGCTGGGAATAAGTCTACTGAACGCTCAGCATTACATGAGATACACCTGTATCAGCCCCGCCACCAAAGCTCAGGGAACACTTCCAAAGAGAGGTGGAAAGAATGCAAGAGCAGGAAGACAGGAGAGAGAGAGAGAGAGACAGAGAGAGACAGAGAGAGAGAGAGAGAGAGAGAGAGAGACAGAGACAGAGACAGAGACAGAGACAGAGACAGAGAGAGAGAGAGATCTGCCTGCGTGTGTGCTGTGTAATGCTATCTTTGGGACATGAATGACATGGCCATTGCACCCATGAATTCATGGTTACCCGCACAAGATCAGACCAACAAGATCAATCAGGATTCCATCAGGCAGCACTAATTGGACTCAGTTACAAAAATTAAAAAAAAAAAAGTGGGGGGGAGTAGGGGTGCATATGGTCAAGATGTTTAAATCTATGAAACTGCAAGAATAAGTAAAATATATTCTTAAAAAATATTTCATGTATAGGGGACTGGAGAGATGACTCAGTGGTTACTAGCACTGTCTGCTCTTCCAGGGGAACTGGGTTCAATTCCCAGCACCCACATGGCAGTTCACAACTGTCTGTAACTCCAGGATCTAACTGCCTCACACAGACATACATACAGGCAAAACACCAATGAAATTTAAAAAAATGTTTCGTGCAAGTTGAATTTGCTTGGGACTAGAAGTATTCTGGATTTCGGAATTTGGAATATTTGCCATACATATGAGAAATCATGGGCTCAGAAAGTCACGGGTACTTCATATACACCTTACATACATAGCCTGAAAGCTATATAAAGTCAGGTTGTCTGCACCTGTTTGTGGATGTGTGTATGGGTGTTTCACCTGCATGTATGTCTGTGTACCATGTGGGTACCTGGTACCTAAGGAGGCTAAAAGAGGGCATCAGATCTCCTGAGACAGGAGTTACAGATGGTTGTAAGACACCTTGTGAGTGCTAGAAATTGAATCCAGGTCCTCTGGGAAAACAGCCATGGCTTTTACCCACTAAATCATTGCTCTCTAGCCCTCTCACCTGTTTTAACTACAATCTGCCACAGGAGATACAGTGCAGAATTCTCTACTCATCGTGTTATGTTACCACTGGAAAGTCTTGAGTCTGAAGCAGTTTGGATTATAGGTTCTCGAATTAGGGATACTCAATGAAAAACTTCAAGTAAATGCTACCAGGAAACTGCAGCTAAGGATGTGTGTGTGTGTGTGTGTGTGTGTGTATTTGTGCATGTGCATGTATCACGTGTCTACTAGGGAAAGCCTTGCCTGTTATTTTAATTGGGGGGGGGCGGCGGTTTTTGAGGGTTTTTCTGTGTAGCCCTGTCTTGTAACCTGCTTTTAGACGACGTTGGACCCAAACTCACAGAGATCCGACTGCCTCTGCCATCCAAGTGCTGGGATCAAAGGTGTGCACCATCACTCCCAGCTATTATTCTCATTTTTATTATTCATGCATGACGTGTGTCTATGTGGGTGAGTACAGTGCACATATGTGGAGGTCAGAGGATAACGCTCTAGACTTGGTTCTCTCCTTCCCAAGGGTGCTGGTGATTGATCTCAGGTTGAGCTTGAGTGACAAGAGCTTTTACTCACTGTCCCATCTCACTGGCCATGTAGTCTTTTATTACATGTATATTCATTATTTGGGTATGGGTAGACATGTGCCACAGCATGTGTAGAGGTCAGAGGACAATCTGTGGGATTCAGTTATCTCTTTTCAGCATGTGGGGTCCTGGGGATGGAATTCAGGTCATCAGGCTTGGTGACGAGTGACTTTACCTACTGAGACGTTTTGCCTGATTCCATATGTTCCTTTTAAAATAAGGAAAAAAAATCTTTCTGAAATCCTATTCTTGGGTTAGGGAGATGCAGCTCAGGGTAGAGTCCCTGACTACCATTTGCAAGGCTTGATCCCCACTACTGAAAAAAAAATTTTTTGTCACCAGTCATGAAAATTCTGTGGACATGGTGCCTCCTTTCTTGTGATCTCTCCTCTTACTCCTTATGTGATGCAGAGCCTGGTTAAGCAGAGGAGTTTAAAACTGATCCCTGCTGCATGAGTTGCAAGTCAGCCACGTTTACATAAAGCACAGTGACCACGCCGGTTTTTTTTTTTTTAAAGATCCACTCATTTAGTACCTACTTGTGGAGCCCCGATGTGCCGAGCACTGCCATAGGTGTTTCTTAAAGCCAACAGTTCTACGATGTGGGGCTCCTACTATAAGCGAACCAGAGGCTGCTAGCTGTCGGGCTCGGTCATCATAAGAGCTGCAGGTGAAGGTCTAAAGGCTACGCCAGTGGTAAATCTGAGGCTGAAGGTGATGGTGACCTGTGAGGATAACAGGGAGAGTGACTCAGAAGGTGACTGTGTCCGTGCAGGGGCCTGCCTGCTAAATGCTGGTTTGACTGTGGCAAGAATAACCGAGTGATGACAGTGGGAACAACTGACAGGTGACTACAGGTGTCATGTTTAGCTTTGTCAACTTGACACAACCGGGAATCATCTGGGAAGTATGTCTCACTAGGGGATTGTCTACACTGGCTGGGTCTGGGGGGGGGGGAGGGGCTTGAGGGTGTCTTGAGCTAACCAAGGTCAGAAGACCCAGTTCACTGTGGCCAGCACCACTCTCCAGACTGGTCCTGAACTGGGGTCCTTAGCTGTGCAAGAAATCCAACTGCACACATGCAAACAGGCGTGTGTGTATTCGCTTCTCTCTGCTCTTGTGGACGTGATATGACTGTGAAGTCCATGTCTGGCTTTGACTTCTCCAAAGTGATGGACTAACCTACAATTGTAAGCGGAAATAAATCTTTCTCTCCTTGGTCCTCCTTCATCTTACTATGTAGCCCTGGGTGTCCTGGAAGTCCTTCAGTAGACCAAACTGGTCTCAAATTCAGAGATCTGCCTGCCTCTGCCTCCAAAGCACTGGGATTAAAGGATAGGCCACCAAGCCTGACTCATTATGTTGCTTTTTGTCAGCGTGCTTTATCACAACAAAAACGAACTACAACAGCTGGCCAGAGTGTTCCGATGAGCAGAATTGTACGAACGTTACAGTCTCTGGCAGTGGGTGCAAACCGCGGTGACAGTAAATACGATAAGCCAGGTGACAGCAGCAGTCACCTATCGAGGTGGCAGTTCTACTCGATAGATTGAATTTCTGGTTTCAAACGGCATTGCACCGAGTCCAACTGACAGCTACAGCACTGAATATTGTCACTGCTGATGGAACAGCTGTAATCACAGAGGGAGCTCGACTCTGCAACAAGAGGCTTGCTTGGATCTGGGTCTGACATCGGTAGCAGGGACAAAAAAGTCTGCGTGTTTGACTGCCAAGACGCTAGGATCGGGGTGCAGTAAGACGAGAGAGAACAAGGGTAAAAGAATACACGCCAAGCCCAGTCCAGAATAAGTCCCGTCCCCGTCCCGCACGTGACCGTGTTCGCTGTTATGGAAAACGGACAGAAACTTTTGTTGTCTCCACGCTGATGCTCTCAGGGTGGCCCAGGTAATGAGGGACCACACCAGACAAACTTCTCCCAAGGAACTGGGGCGGAGTTCAGAGGTCAAGAACAGGCTAGCAGACAGCTTTCCCTGGGAGCCTACCATTGGTGGAGAGTGACCACGTGGTACAGGCACCGCCTTCTCGCGAGACCACCCCCAGCACGTGACTGGCGCGAGCACATCAGAGACTCTGCCCTCAGCGTCCCTCGGCCCCAAGATGGCTGCCTTTTGGCGTCTTTGGCGCTGTTGAATGGAGAAAGCTTTATTGTTCCCTTCGGGCAGGAGTGTTCGTGTCCTCTATGGCGCTGTCAATAAAGAACGGCAGTTTGAATCGGTACTGAGCAGGTAACCATAGAAACGGCGCTGGGACTTCTCGTGGAGACCCCTGTTGCGGCAGCGGCCCGAGAGATTCCCTGAATGAGGGGCGCCCCGGGACCCTTGCGCACTGCGGGCTAAGCACGTGGCGAGCTCCGCGGGGCTCGCGTCGGTCACAGTCGCCGCTGTCCTCTGGAAGTGGCCCAGGGATGGCCCTCACCCCGGGCGTAATCTCGGTCGTGAACTCCTGCGGGAGGACGCGGGACCCTGCCTGGCAACCGTGGGCCTTTTTACCCAGCTCCCCGCGACTGGCCAGCCGACGCCCGCCCTCCCAGGGCTCCCTCCCCGTCCCTGCTCTCAGCTTTTGTTTACTGCGAAACGAGAATGGTTTATCCGTTTTAAAATAGTTGTGGGGAAATAGAAGTCATATGAAATAAAACTTCAGCTCCCAGAAGTGAAGTTGCACCGAGAAGCAGCCACGTTCATTGTTTATGTGTTGTCTGGCCGCCTGCCCGACGCGGGGCGGGGGAGTGCTCGCCGTTGCTTGGCTTTTATTCCGCTTTGATGGAAAGGCCCGTGAAGCTGGAGTCATTTCTCAGTGGCGCTTTACAGAAGTTTGCCAGCCTTGGCCCGAGGCACAAGTAGATTGAGCTAACGTTCGTTTGACACAATACCCTGACTTCCGTGTCACGGTCAAGTTAGTTTCTCATACTACGCAATGTTGCCCGCCCAATGCATCCAATAGACCATCTACTTTATGTTTACACATGACGTTGGAAATATTTTTCTTTTGCAAAAGAAATGACGTGAGATTAAGCTGTTTTGGGGTGTACTAGGTCATAGAACCCACAATCTGAGCCTAACACTGGGACACCCCTGTTGCCTCAGACTGCTTTCTCCCTCTGGAAGTGTTCTTTCTTGTAATTGTATCCAAATCGTGGTATTGGTTATCGCTGTGTGAGCAATCTCAGTACTTGGCATAAATTATACCCACCGGTCATGTAGACATGGTTCTTCTGTGATGGTATTTCCCAACCCCTGTCGTGTGTGTGTGTGTCTGTGTGTCTGTGTGTACACGGTAGCCGAGGTTGGCCTTGGGCTCCTGACTCTCCTGCCTCTCCCTCCCAAGTGTACCCCTTGCCCAGCCCCCTCAAACTTTTAACGGTTGTTTTGTTTGTTTAACACCTAGGCTTGCATAAGCGAACTTAATTAGCCGTTTGCTTCTACTGTGTGCAGGTCTGATTCCTGGAAATGTACTAGTGCACAAGATAGCCCTGACCTCTGTCTCTTTGGAATTTAAATTCTTCAACGGGCTTGGGTGATGTACAGGTACACAGAAACAGGGGTCTTGCTGCACGGCCCTGGCTCCCCTTTAACTTGAGAGCTTCTTTCCTAAGCTTCCAAATGCTGGAATTGCAGTTGTACATTACCCCTGCCTGTCTGACAAAAAATAATTTCAAACCTATCTCATAGCACCAGAGCAATAAATGAGTAGTTAGTGCTCATTGAGCAGTTTCTTTGTGCCAGATACTGGCACTAAAGCTTAATGTGAACTGTCACTTAGTCTGTGACACAGACAGTGTTAGGATTAACCTTTTACCCTGGAGAGATGGCCAGTATTACATGGTTTATGCATGGGGAGCATGGAGCTGAAGTAAACAGATCATGTCATGCTGTGTTCCATCTGTTGTCTTCCCTGCCAGCTTGTGAGGTCCACAAGAGTAATGCCACATCTTACTTTTGTGGCCTCAGCTGCTAGCCCGTGCCACAACTTGATGTTTTCAGGAAGGTAGTAAATATACAAACCTTTAACATCCACTGAGCAAATACTTGAGAATTTGTTCTACACCACGAGCACTGGTAGAGCTGGGTGGCTTGACACATTGCAGAGTGGTTGTCTGCTCTTACGGTCTGCACAGTAGGGTGTTGTCTTGCTTATTGAAGAGAAAAATGTCTTAATAGGTCCTGAGTTTGCTTTCTGAGAGGGGGGTCTTCTTGGTCTTAAACTGGTAATGCAACTTATCTCCTTGTTCTATTGTGGAGTGCTGGGGTACAGTGTGCTTACTATTGTATGTAATTACATCCAATTGGAAAGACTAACCTAAATTTGACCCCAGATGTGTTAAATAATAGTGAAATTTCAGATGTGTCACAAGCAAAATGAGGGGCAGGAGGATGTGTGTTTTCTATCTTTTGGGGAGAGGGAGAGATAGATTTCTCTAGTGTTTAAATAGAGGGCAGCTTACCCAAGTGGAATTTAATTGTTCTTTTAAATTATCTAAAAATTACATTAATTGTGTATATGAACACACACGTGTGGTGAGGTTGGGGGAGGAGAGTGTGGATGGGGAGAGGTGCCTGGATGCGGCAGTGTGATGGTGGAAGGATGAAGACAGTTTACAGGAGTTGGTTTTCTCCTACCACCACGTGGCTCCACCATGAGGGACTGAACTCAGGTCAGACTTGGCAGCAGGTACCTTTGGTCCACTGAGCCATCCCACCAACCCAGCTATACAATTGTCTATATAGAAAGTTTTTTTCATCATTTTAGCACTTTAAATTTAGAACTGTTAATGTTCTTCCATCAGGGATACCTGCATTTTGGGGATGTTGGGAATGTAACCAAAGTCTGTCCCACAGCAAACATGTGCTCTGAGCCCGAGCTACACCTTCAGCCCCGATATCTGCACTTTCTTGGGACTTTTTGGGGAAATCTAGGGTGTGTTTGCAGTTGATTGTTGATTTCCTTTCAATGTTTTCTAATGAAGCAGCATCCTTTAAGAGCCAGGCGTGGTGAGGCACACCTTTAATCTGTGCATTCCGAAGGCAGAGGAGGGTGGATCTCTGTGAGTCCTGTGCCAGCCCACCAAAAAAACGAGAATCGTGAGGCTGTGTCTCAAAGAACAAAATCATGGCATCTTTACCGTGGTGTGGAATACTTGAAAAGCACCAGGCTTTTTGAATAGGTATGAACAGAACAAGAGCGTGAGAAACGATAGGCTGTACTAAATCCACGGAGCACTGGAGCTGTCATATGGAAGAATGAATGTCAGGTTTTGCTTTATACTGTATGCAGTAACCGTGTTAGGCATGTCATCAGAAGATGTCAACCAGGCCAGCGAATGGAGCTGGGAGCTGGCCACAGAGTGGCATGTTAATGCAGTATTGAACTGCAAGCCCAGAATTAAATTGCTATTTCGGGTTTGGGTGGGACCTTTCCATCTGAGCGTTGCTGTTTCTACTTTGTGATTTGGGTTTGTTGGGTTCCAGTAAAGAGTAGGTGGTAACGCCAGCTTTGAAGCATGGTATGAAACTGCAGGAGGAGCCAGGGCATACCAATTTGTTTTCCAATCTATTTTATTTCAGTTCAGAGCATCAGTGCAGACGGCAGCCCAGGAAAACAGGCCGCACTCTGGCAACACTCAGCTGCATTTGCAGATTGAGGAAGACTGAAAGTAACCAAAGTGCAGCTTGTTTTCCTGGGCTGTCTGTCTGAGATGATGCTCTGAACTGAAGTGAAATAGATTGAAAAACAAATTGGTGTGCCCTGTTGCTCCATCCTCAGTATGCACGCTACCCCTCCCCAGCATACCTGGGGAACAACGGCATTGGCCCCTCAATCATTCTGAGTTCTCACCCCTGTGAGATTTTGATTTTCCTGAGGAAATTGAATTGGGGTATGCACTTTTCTGAACTTCCAATAGCTTACCTTCCAAAGCCATCATCTGGAGAATGTGGAGACCCAAGCTACTAACCACACTGGAAGGAATTAAATATTAAGGACATTTAAGTTCAGAGATGAAGCTGTCATTTTCTTTAAGCTGTGCAGAGGGTACAGTATTTCATTCACAGAGAGCACACAGTGTGAGGCCCTGGCAGTTCTCCAGGGAACAGAGGGCAAGGAAAGAAAGAAAATGACTTTCCTTCTATTTCCCTAATGTTACTTAACTCGGATCCTCAAAATTTCGAAACCAAACAACTCATTTCCTTACACAGAGTAAATAGAGTATAGCTGATTCATGAAAAACCGAGATCGTTAACATCCAGGGAAATGTTGACTCTCAGTGGATCTATGAGGCCTCTGAAAATGGCTACGAATCCTCCAGAATGCCATTCTTGCAGGAGGAGAACAATCCCTTTAATCAGATCTCAGAGAGTCCTTGACCCCTCAAAAGGAGCAGAGCCCATAATGAATGCCACGTGTAACACCAGACCAAAGTCATGCAGGCAGTCCTTTGTGCACATCTGTGCCCTTGACATGAGTTTTAGAAGTACCTTTCTAGGTTTTGTTTCTTATATGAAGTGGTCAGACATGATGGATAAACTTAAGGGCATGCTTCAAAATTCCTTGTGAATGTTAGTGCCTTACAGAAGACTAGTGAGATGTGGATGGTGTCTCTTAGTGACCTTGTTAACAGATCTGCCTGCCTGCCTGCCTGCCTGGATGGGTTCAAGTGGCACTGGCTGGCCTTAAGATCTTCAAATTCCTGATTCTCCTTGCCTTTTCATTCTGAGTACTAGGCTTACTGGTGTGAGCTACCAAGCCCAGATTGTTGTTGTTGTTGTTTTTTCTTCTTCTTCTTCTTCTTCTTCTTCTTCTTCTTCTTCTTCTTCTTCTTCTTCTTCTTCTTCTTCTTCTTCTTCTTCTTCTTCTTCCTCCTCCTCCTCCTCCTCCTCCTCCTCCTCCTCCTCCTCCTCCTCCCTCTTTTTCTTCTTCTTCTTAATATTTGATGTATTTCTTTTTAGTGCCAAGGATTAAAATCAGCCTTGCCCATGCTCAGTATGCACCTTGTCACACAGCTTTATCAACTGCAGCGAATGTATTGTTTAGAGTGACATGGAGTGAATTTTTTTTAATGTGTACAACATGGTGGTTGACTGTGTATTACATGTCACCTTGCAGAATGGTAAAGTCTAGTTGATTACACAGTTGCTTCTTTCAGTTCACAGGAGATGGTGGTAGAAACTGCTGCTGGTTAAGCCGCTTTTCTGTTGTGTTGGTCTCTGCTCCCCTCTCTCCACCTCTGGTT